TTTCTTTCTTTCTCTTTTTAAAAACACCCTTAACTCAGGCTTGATTAAATTCAGTTCTGGGTGTTGGAAGGGGAAGGTGAGGTCATGCACCCTCCTTAGCATATTTCCAATTTAGGGTGTGGAAAGAATATGCTAGAATTTGTTTTGAAATGTAGCAAAAACAGATCTTGACGAAGACTTCTACTTTATTTACTACCTGGAAAGTGTGGAATCAGACTCCCTTGAAGTTGTCCCATATTACACGGGTCCCAGGAAGACAGCAGAGGTGATGACCTTGTGGGGCTGGGCACTGGAGGGTGAGAGGTGGCTCGGCCCATTTGCTGTAATGTTGGGCTGCAGGAAGGAAGATCCCTATATTCTCTAGACCTCTATCTGTGAGTGGAAGTTAAGCAAACCCTGAACTCATGGGCCTGACTGAAGTCATGGGCTAAAGGGGTCTTGCAGGACAACACAGCAGGGAGGTTCCCCCGGGGACCAGAGGGAGCTCTGGCTGTAGTGTCAGGATCCATAACCTGAGAGGACCGGGGGGTGGCGGGGAGAGGTGAGGTGGTGTCTGGTCAATTCCTGGAATCTAGACACATTGCCCATACGGGGATCACACAGATCAAAACAGACCAAAAACTGGAACCAATTTGAGGACCAAGGCAGAGCAGGGCTGGGAACTTCATGTCTCCTTGAGAACACTGTTTGCAACTGTGCAGGCTTCTCTTTCCCCATCCCATCTGCTAAGATGATGGAGCACTATGGGAAAGAAGCCTCGTGGTGTCAGTCTCCTCCCCACATGGGATCTCCATTCCCTCACATCAGAGGGGCTTGGTGGAAGCACACAATTAGCGTAGAGCACTGGGAAAGTCCTTGTTGATTCTGCTGAAGACTAGGTCAACAAAGGACAACATGGTTGTTCTCTGAACACATTCTGAAGGGGACTGAGCTCCCTTTAGCAACCTGACTGGATGCAGAGAGGTTAAAGACCAGTGAGAATGTGATATGTTTGGTGCCAAATCTTAAAACAGCCCTCAAATAATTCCATGTGAAATGCAATTACAGATGGTTTTGGTAGAGCATGTCTTGGCCAGAGTTATTGTGCACAAATCTGTTTTGGGTTTCTGGTTTCCCTTCCAAATCATAAACCTTCTTGATTTTGATGACTCATCTCATATTCCCTTTATCTCGCAGGCTGCGATACTTTTCAAACATCTCCACTGTTATTTCTTGAAGAAGATTTTAAAACCTTGAAAAGCACGAATCCTAAAACATTCAGGATAAGGAAGGTGTTACCAGTCATCTAGGTGGCATTAAGGGATTTGCTAATTCGTGCTTTGCTCGGCTTTATTCCTGCCACCTAAAGGAGGGAAGAGAGATAGGAGCACATGAATCCTGCCAAGAGGAACTGAGGTTTGACCCCAGTGCAGATGACTTTGAAAAGCTGCTAATGTAAATACGTAGACCGAAAGCGAGTGCCGCAGTGCAATGCTCCTTTCCCTACCCTCTTCATTTCTGTTCTCCCCCGCAGCTCCAATTGCTGCAACAGCCCCAATCGTACCACTTAAGATCGTTAGACAAAAACTAAGCTTTGTCTGGTGTCATAAAACATGTCTGCCTATTTCATTTTCGGCAAGAATTGTGTGAAAGTTGAGGAGAAATGGAAATAGTCACAGCACTTATGAAACACCCAGAAAGTGCTGCAAGGTGCCAGGTACTTTAGGGGACACTGGGATGCTGGGGGCTCCCAAGGAAAGATGGTGTAAGTGCAATATGAGGTGTATCAGAGGTGCTGAAGTTGTCTGACTCTGCCCACTGAGAGGTGAAGTCAAGATCTTCCTTCTCCCATTGGCTGTCCTTGGCCTGGCTGACCAGCATACCGCTGCATGGCATTCAGGGCTAGGATAGAAGAAGCCTTGCAGCTGTAGCCTCACTTTCTCTGTGCATTGGCTTTGGGGAGATGCCTTCTTGGAACTCAGCTTTTTGGAATTGAGAAGGCAAAGTCACATGAAGAGGTTGCGGTGGTCAACGGCCCAGCCATGTGAGTGGCCCATTTCTGATGTCCGGCCTCATCACTTCCTAGCGCGTGCAGCTCGAGCATCAGGCTTTACTGAAAAAGACAGCATCTAGGCTGGCAGCGAGGGCATTCTCAACAGAGGGAGAACCACAGATACATAAGTGCCCAGTGAGTCCAGAGAATGCAGATGGACCTGTGGGCTGATGCAGAGACAGGCTGAGAAGAGGCAGGGCTGGAGAGCTGGAACGGGGACAGGCTGGGCCACAGAGTCTAAGCAAGGTCAGTGAGCAGTAACTGAAATTCCATTTAAATCCCTACGTAGGCAGAATGATTTTGAATGTCCGAGGCCTTGCTGGCCTGGCTTCCAGGTGTGTGAGCCAGATGTGCTGTGGGGAAAGATCGTAATTCTACAGCTTGCCACTGCTTTCTGCTCTGAGTCATGCTTAGAGAGGCCTCTGTTGCTTGGTTCATGATTTGGAGCATAGAGAATCAGAAAGATTAAAGAGTAAGTTCAATTGCTCCACACAGAAAAGGGTACAAAATGCATGGTGAGAGTGGGCAGCGGGTAGAGGAGGAAGCTGGAGAGGGAGCTGGGGGAGACATGGTAGCCCAGTAGATATGTGGGGTGCTAGGTCGGTCCAGAGATCTGATGCCCACCCAACATGAGGACTCTAGGTTATAAAGCTGTATGGCATATGCAACTCATGTTAGTGAGTAGATTTTAATTGCTTCTGCCATAAAAACAAAAAATAATGTGAGGTGGTGGATATGTTAATTTGCTTCATTACAGAAATTCCACCCCCCCTTTTCTTTTTATTACCTTTGTGTATTCCTTAACATGTTACATGCCTTGAATATACACCATAAAATTTATTCAGATATTTGTTTTATTCATATATTTGTACCATAATGTCATTGGTACAGGGTCTCACTACAGACTCATAGTGATCCTCCAGTTTTCAGCCTCTCCAGTGCTGGGATTACAGATGTGCACCACCATGCCCTGGACATGGTGGCTGGCTCAGCCCGCCTGGGGGCGGGGCCAGCACAACATGTGGTGCCAGGGATTGAACTGGGGTCCCAGAGCTTGCGTAAGCAGGCGCTTAGTCTGCCAAGCTATCTCTCCGGCCCTAAAATTTATTTTTTTAATAAAAGAGGCAACACATTTAGGAGGGAAGGAAGCAATAAGGGGGAAGACTGGGCCAGGGAGGCATGTGTGGGATGACTTGGAGGCCAGAGACTACTGGCGCCTGGAGTTCATGGAGGTGAGCGGGGTCCCAGTGGGGCAGCTGGGGATATTTGGTAAGTTCTGCTGTGTGACGAGCCTGCAAACTTTGCAACAGGGAGTTTGTTCTTGGTAGTTAAGGAAAGGAAATGGGCTGCTGCCGAGAAGTGTGGAAAAGCGCTGAGACTCAGGACAAAAGAAAGACAGGCAAGAGGGGCAGCGAGGGTTTGCCGAGGAAGCCCAGAAATGAAGAGCTTTCTTCTCTGGCTCTCCAGACACTACGCAGAACCTGTAGGAGATCTGCTGGGTGATCCTGAACATGTGTCTGGACCTAAACTCCTGGGAGGCTTTCTTTGCTAGCTGCATTCTCTGCAGCAGGCTTTAAACGGAAGTTGAAGGGATGAATTTCACCAACAACGACAGCAACAGCAGCAACAACATCAATAACAACAACATACTTACCTGCTTAAAATATTTCAGTGAGTACTGATACATAGGATCCATCTCGGAGAGGCTCGCGATGACAAAGTACATGACAGAACCTTGAGTGGCCACTGGCCGGTACTTCTCCCGAGCCACGTTGATCATCTGCTCCGTGGACTCTGCTTCTTCCAGCCTGACTTTGATGGCCCCGGAAGTGATCTGAATAAACACACAGCGAGTTCTTAGGACGTGTTTTCAGCAAAGTGGTGAGAATTTTGGGATATATCTAGTCACAGTGGTGTAGGCAGCTGAGTTACATAGAAATATTACAGGCAGTCAGACAGAGCTGTCTTGTCAAGGTGACGGTATGGAAGACAAGATAGCTTGGAACTTGCAACTGTGGGAGAGAGAGGCACTCCTGCTGTGCGCCAGACCTCAAGACAAAAGAGTAGACAAATGCAGTCATGTACTTCCCTAGGGATGGGCATCAGGGATTGATAGTCTAATAGGTAACAATCACCTTGAGAAAATCTGGAAGAGTCATTAACCCAACCCCCTACAGGTAGAGGCCCTGTTCCGTATTCTTGTGCACTTGCTTCATGACTTGCTTTCCCATTTGATCCAGATTTAATCACTTTTACCTGAGCAATTGTGCTTATGACATTACTGGTTGACCATAGTTTTGTCCCAAGTCATGTGTGAGTTCCCATGTTTCCACCTTAGACTCACTTCACCTTACCTCATGGTTTTGCTCTATAAAAATCCTCAGAAAAGGCAGATTCTTTGGCATACCACTCAGGACCCCTTCTGTCCCTCTCAGACAGAAGCTTTCTTTCCCTCAGTAGATATATTCTGCCCTTAACCTCTGTTGTTCTTAAAATTCATTCTTTGGTTTTAGAGAACACAAACTTGTCCCAGGTAGCTTGTTTCCCAAGCTAGTTTCTTTCCCCTATATCAACTAGCTTGGGAAGGGGGAGGGTGTGTGTGTATGTGTGAGCCGAGTCTGGCCCTGTGTGTTGATAAGGCAGGAATGTTGTTTGTCATAATGGGCCTACGAGAAAGCTTTTCTTCTTTAAATGGTCTGCATGTAAAACTTTGGTTTAAAAAAAAAAAAAAGTCAACCAAACACAAGGCTATCAACGAATTGGCAGAAATTAAAAATCCAAGGAATGACTGAAAGGAGGATAAAGAGACCAGTGGACGTATAAAGGAAAAGAGAGGAAGGAAAGGTGAAGCCCAGAATTGCTGTTCACTGTTGCTTTGACACCAGGTTCTCAAGAAACTGCAGGATGCAAACAGTAAACCACATTCCATCAGTGAGGGCCAGAAAACATATGCAAATGTGCTCCTTGTCTAGGGAAGTTAAAGGGAGTTGTTCTGGTAAATATTTGTTCTCATGAATGGTAAGAATTCCTTGCATGGGTTTCTCGTATACATTCCTTCTACTTCTTGTGGTGTGAGAGATTGAATTCAGGACCCTAAGCTTGGGACAGGACATAAACTTGCTAGGCAAGTGCTCTGTTACTGAGCTCTGGCTCCAGCCCCTATACTTCCTTTTTTCTTTTTCTTTCTTCCCCTATAGTTCTTAATGATGGTTTAAATCTGAGAAATGGTTCACTACAGGATTACACATTTAATGTAAAATTTCACTGTACAATTAGCACATGTCTATAAAACCCCAGCTGTGTGTAACCGTGGTGCTTAACCCTTGGAGAAGGAAAGTCAAGATGACCTACTGCTGGAGTGGCACAGCCCAGAACGTGCCCACCTCCCAGAAGAGCTGAGACAGGTGACTGGGCAGCTGTGACACAGGTAAACAGCAGCAAGTGCTGTGTAACAGAGGCTGGATAAGGCCTGAGTGCAGCTGGGAGAGCAGGAGTCATTTCTCCTGGGAATACCAGGGAGGCCTCCTGTGAGAGGGGGCGTTAATGTAATCATATGCGTGTGTTTGTCCCTTTCAATTTGTGTCCTGTCCCAGGCCTTTGTTTTATTATGCTTTAAACTTGCAGAGAAGGCAGAGGAGCTGTTCTCTACAGTTTCTCTGTTGGTGAGGAGGCCTGGCAGCTAGTGCTGGCCTATGGTGATCTTCCTTCTTGCTTTGTTTATTTATTTATTTTTGTATTTTGGGAAAGGGTCTACAGGGTGTTCAGGATCTCACAACTAGATAGAACTTGTAGTGATCTGCCTATTTACAGCCTCCCAGGAGCAGGGATTATAGGCGCAGGCCACCACCCTCAGTCTCAGTTGTCCTCTCAGTGCCTCCCCCCCCCCCCCCACAGGCCCACGGAATCAGCCCCTGAGCCTGCTGGCAGGTCCTGTAATCTGCTGAGCTATTTGGCCGGCCCTCCTTCTTGCTTTAAAACCCTTGCAGAACCCTCAAAGGCTGTAGACATAACTTGCAGAATACTGCACCTTCTGCAGCACTGAAACCATTTCACTTGCCTTGGACTCCTGGAGCATGTCAATGAGTTCTTCGTTGTCCAAAATATTTCCTTCAGATGTAAAGAGCATTCTTAGGATTTTGTCTTCGATGGCTTTCAACTGGTTTTTATCACTGTTGATCCTCACGATGAGCTGAACTCTTTGTTCTTCCAACTCTGGTCTTTCCAGCCGTACCACGTCACTAGAAGCGAAGTTGACAGGCCTGTGTTCTTTCTCTGTCAGTACCCTACAGTTTTTCTTTTCTTTTTTTTTTAAATTAAAAAATCTTTTATTTATTTGGTATAGGGTCTTGCTATGCAACTTGAACTCATAGTGATCCTCTTGTCTCTGTCTCCCCAGTGCTGGGATTACAGGCATGCACCAGCATGCCTGGTTTCAGTGACCAGCTCAGTGCGCCTGGGGTTCTGGGGTGGGCACGGCATGTGTTACCAGGGATCGAACTTGGGTCCTTGCGCTTGCCAGGCAGGAGGCGCTTAGACTGCTGAGCTACCTCCCTAGCCAACCCTACAGTTTTTCTACATGGCTCTTTGTTCACGGAATGAGCATCTAAGTCAGGGCGACTACATCTAAAATGCAGACCTAAGCTTCTTGCTGCTGTCCTTTGCTGATCTCCCCCCAGGCTTCTGTTTTCAGCTCATCTTCATTAGCCTACCTGTGCCCCACCCCCCACCTCCATAGGAGGTTTTCATGGATTATTTCTTAATTTTTTAAAAGCTTCTGTGAAGCAGATGCCATGGTTCTAGACCCAGAAGTGGGTCACTCCTGAGGAGACACAGGCATGAGAGACAGATAGTCGTGTGCCTGGGTCAGCTGGCTCCAGAGCTACACAACACACTCTGATATATTACCTTACACAACAACTCATCATTTATTTGTTACGCACATGCAGAATGCAGACAATTTAAAACTGTTAGGAGACAGTAAGAAACCATCATCTCAGATTAAATTGCATACACAACTTTTTCAGAAGAGAGATGTTTAGGCAATTTTCATGATGGAAGTGAGCTCAGGAAACAGCTTGATAGAAGCACAAACCGAGTGAAGTAAGTTAGGAATCAAGAAAGATTGCCTAGAAAGCAGAGGAAGGGCCAGAGTTTCTGGAGGCCGAAAAGAAGGCGGAGGAGTCGGGCTGTTTGGGTGGCTTCATAGGATTCCTCCAAGCTGTAAAGGGGTCTTGTCCAACCACAGGACGATGAGGATCCCGGAGGAAATTGCAAGGAACAGGGGAGCTCAGCAGAGGGGGTGGGGCACTGAGCTGCCGTCAGAGTGGGGGTGCCAGAGCCGCGGGTCTCCTGGGGGCTGCAGGCTTTCAGGTCTCCTTTGCACCAAATGCTGCCCCTCCTGACTGACCTCAGCACTGCCCTTGCTCTCCTCTGGGAGCCTGGCCTTTTTGTCCCAGGCACTGTGGCACCTCAGTGATACGGCTAAGCGCAGCTCTTCACCGGCATCAACTGCTATGCCAAATGGTCAGCCACGCCTTTAGAATAGAGCTATAAAAGGTGTTGAAACACCCCTTAATTGGAAAGAAGTTAACCCAGAGGGATTTAAATTAGCAGCTGAAAACTTCAAAAAGAAACAAGGAAAAATAAGTCACAAAGTCATTCGCGATAGCAAGTGTGAGTCTGGGTAATCCTGACTTCAACATATGTACATAGAGATGCGTGTATACAAGTCTTTATATACGTATACAGGTACAGTTCTTCTCACTCTAGCTATATAGTTACTTCTATTCTTTTGCAGTGCTCTACCACTGAGCTATGTCTCCAGCCAACGGTCCATTTTTGAAAGTTGGTCCAAAAGTTATTTTCTTTTAGAGTCAATAGATACTTACACACAGATGTTCACATATGCATGTGTTCATGTATGTTGGTGAAATGCAGTCACAAGTCAACTACATATATGACACTGGACCTTTAAGATTATTATAGCAATGCAATTGTCTTTGTGTAACTACACTGTGTGATTTTCACACAGAAATTGCCTAATGATAGGTATCATTCATTAAGTGGTATATGACTATGTCTATCTATCTCTTTCTCTCTATATATTTAGGTTTAGTCAACATTATTATTTTAATAAATATTAAAAGCTTTACATGCTGAGCTTTTTGGCTAATTCTGATGATTGATATTAACAATTCATAATCTTGTTTTTGAGAAATGGGAACTTAGTTGCATATAGAATATACTGAATATACTTTTGTGAGGTGGAAACCTTAGGCACGAGTAAGCACAAGGGAAAACCATCTGGAGACCCGTGAAGCAGAAGGGGTGTCGGAGGGGCTGCTTTCCTTGCTCACGGGGAGCACTGAGTTCCTAGGAGCTCGCTTACTCGTTGGGCTGGATGTCATAGCCAAAAGAGGGCTGCACTGCCAGCCTGCCCTGAGCAGCCAGTGGGAACTCAGGGTAAGTCCCTGAGCTCCTCCTGAGACCCTGGGCCCACCTGGTGGCCACAAGCAACAGTGCCATCGGTGAAGAGCTTGAGCACCTGTGCTTCTCTTTCGGATCGAGTTACTTGTGATGCTTTTATACACTGACGTTCTTCATCCAAATTTTTAAACAAAATATGAAGAAACCATGACCTCCCCGGCTTCCCATGCTCCCTCTTTACCTTAACAACTGATCCTCCAGACCCGACTTGGTTACAGTGAAGTTGATGATGGTGACTTTAATGCACACCTGGAAGAGACGCACCGGAAAGCTGGTTAAAAACAGCGAGTGCTTTCTTTATGAGCACAGCTTGTCATTACCCAGACGTGTCCAGCTCATGTCCCGCCGGGTGCACACTTCCACCCCATCCCCACACAGCGGGTGGCATTTGACTTGTGATGCAATTTTCCTGCCCAGATGAGTGGCACCTTTGCTCCCCAACCCCCACAATGACAGACTCCTTTGTGATGTTTTAAGGAAGGATGATGCAGAAACGGGTTTGAAATGGCAAGTCAAGAATCAACAGCTTGGGCTGGAGCTACAGCTGCAGCCTTTAATGGGTGTCTGGTGTTTGACAAGCCCTTCAGTGTGCTGAAGTTTAGCTCCTGACACTTAAAAATTGGGATGATAATAGTAACAATTCAGGGGATAATTGTGAGGACTGAACGAGGTAATAAAAATCACTTAGGGCAATTAAGTTACAGTGACTTGGAGATAGCCTGTCTTTGTGAAAAAGAATCTATTCTTGGTAATAAGTAGTTTTACATATTTAACCTCATTATACATTTTATATGGAAAATTGTTACCACACTTTCATCATATTCTGACATCATGTGAATAAATCAATAGCAAAATCCAATAAATTTAAGAACGTTTTGTGTTACAAATCCCTGGTATTGGCTTTGTCCCCACTTTAGAGCTGACTGACATGAGGATCATGGCCATGAACAGTTTATACCTGGCCCCAGTTAGGAGTCTTGGTGCAGTGCCCTCTCAAAAGTTAAAGGAGGGAGAAATCAAAGGTTGTAATGGGCACACTGTCACTTTTCTGAGCTCTGACACCAGCATTGGCAGTGGCTGGGTAATTAAGCTCCTCGAGGTCTGGTATGGAAAATCCGAGATAGGATTTTAATGACATTTGTGCACATTAGTCATGAAGGGTGTCGATTTCAGTCAACTCAAACACAGTCCAGGGCAGACAGATGGCTGCGAGAAATCCAGTATCTAAAGTAAAAGTGGCACTGTGTGGAACGATGTGTCTGAGGATTGTTTGAAGGGGAGAGGGTCTGACGTGAAGTCCTTGCCCTGAGAAGCCCTTCAGGTGTGTCTCAGTGGAGGTCTCCCACCCACAGAGGGTCACAGCCTGGGCTGCAGAGCAGGCAGGCGCTGCTGTTGTTGCCTCCACTGTATTGCCTTCCACTCTGCAGCCTGAGAACCTTGGCTCTTCTGAGCCCCGTGGTGGCTCAGGGGTGTACACAGAGTGGGGCACACATGACTTTCCTCAATGACTCCAAGAGCAGGAGGAGAGGAGCAGGACGTTGCCAGCCTCTCCACCCTTCATCTCTAAGTAGAAGCACTAGCTCAGGATCCTCTAATGTCAGTCACGAGTTTTCAAGCAGGTAACTACTGTATTTGGGGTTGTATGCTATGGGTCCCCACTGCCACGGACTCTCAGGTAAGCCCTGATTCATTCATCAGTCACAACTCCAGGGGCAACAAACAGTCTTTGCTGCAGGAGGGAAGACAATGATTAGAAGGAAGAGGGTGGGCCAGGAGGGAGACCAGGGGCACCCGGGCTTGGGAGCCTGCGGGTAGCTGGTGGCTGGAGTCCCAGCTAGCAGGAAGAAGGTGACTGGAATCCTAAGCAGGGCTCAGAATGAATCCAGAGGAGAACCATAGGGGAAGAAGAGTTGCACAGGGAGGAGGGAGGACAGGAGAACCTATTAGTTGTTCCTTCCAGGGGAACCCCGCCAGACTTTAGAGGCTCATCACACATAATAACCCCATGGGGCTGAGAAGGCCACAGTGGTGGCCCATACCTCAGGCAGGTAGTGGGGATTTGACATCTTGGTGGTCATATAGAACCTGAAGTTCTTGTCGTAATCAATGTCTGAGTCTCCAAGGTGAATGAGTAACCGTCCACCGCTCATGAAAATTTGCTTCAAAAGAATGGGCTCTAGAGCCGGATCCAGGGTTTCCTTGAGCTTGACAATGTAAACAAAATGAAATCATGCAAAAGAACAAAAAGAAAAAAACCAATAATTAAAATGGCTGTCATCACCTTGTCAGTTTCTTAAAGGGCCTCAATACTTTGAGCAATTTTTTCAGTACTCTTATATTTATTAATGTTCTCACACTGACGGTGTATGTTTTCCAGTGATTCTTTCATCTATAGTCTAAGGAGATAAAGCTCCTCCAAGCTGAGAACTCATTTATGCTGGTCTGATACACCATTTATGCCCACAACAACAACCCAGGAAAGAGGCTGGGTCTATTACATCACTCTAGGGTGTTTCAAGTCCCAGGGGTCCCCAGATAAATAAAATTTGCTCATTTTTAGAGTTATTCTGTCAAGGGTTGGCAAACCGCATCCTAATAGGATGCCTACATCAAATAGGGGCCCCTGTAGCCTGTTTTTGTATAGCTTTTGAACTAAGAACCATTTTTACTATTTTATTTTTTTAAAAATTTATTTATTTATGTGTGTGTATGTGTGTGTGTGTGTGTGTGTGTGTGTGTGTGTGTGGCCAGCTCAGCCCTCCAGGGGGCGGGGCTGGCTGGCATGTGGCGCTGGGGGATTGAACCGCGGTCCTTGTGCTTTAGCTTGTTCTAAGTAGGTGCTTTAGACCACTGAGCCATCTCACCAACCCCCTTTATTATTTTAAATGACTATAACAACAAAGGGCCAAGGAGTTAGCGCAGTGGCATAGCACCTGCCTGGCAAGCACGGGGTCCTGAGTTCGATTCTGAAAGCAAGCAAATAAAATGTTTCCAAATCAAAACTGTATGAGGACTGCAAAATCTAAAATGCTTACTATATGGCTCATGACAGAAAAGGTCTGTGGGGTCCCATTCTACATGACAGTTACGCTTTTATTCTCTCAAAGCCAATATGACTGCTGGTTAAGACTTGGGCTGCCTGCAGGAACATCCTTAGAAACATCCTTACGTCAGGTACCAGACAGGGAATTTACTCTTATCTGTGATACAGTTTTGTGGTTTTGAAGTTCCACAGGGGAGTAAGTGCCTGCTTAGACAAGCACTGGGGCAGGGGTTTGATCCCTAGCACCACATCCTGTGCCGGCTCTGCCCCCAGGTATGCTGAGCCAGTTCCAGAGTTTGGGTTTATGCCTGTAATCCCAGCAATAGGGAGGCTGAAAACAGGAGGATCACTATGAGACCTTATACCAAACACACACACACACACACACACACACACACACACACACACGTAAAATTGTGAAGTTCCAGTTCATTAGTAGATGCTGATGGAGATGGACTTATCTGGTTTCATATGGCATTGAAGTCTGAAGACATTAGCCTGGCCAATGTAGAAGGCAGCAAGATGGGTGATGCTAAGGACTCCAAGTCCCTTGTTGCCACCATGAAAGAGGAGAGCCCCTTGGGACCTCTTGTGTCCCACAGTAAACTTGGGCCTGAGACTCCACTGGGGGCTGATGCAACTGTACCGAGCGTCTCTGGAGACCTCTTTCCTATGGCTTCAGGGGTGCAAGGGAGCACCTGGGACCCACTACAACACCTTCCACGTTGGTCAAAGCCAAAGCTTGATTGCTCGGGGGCCCCTCGTGTTCTGTGTGATTCACGTGGGGAGTACGGTGTGCACTGTGGACCTTCTAGGCAGGCAAGGCTGCTCAGATAGTTGAACATTTATATGCTTCATTTTCCTTAATGAAAGAAAAGGGATAACAATGACGCTTGTCACTACTGCTGAAGTAAAAGTGAATGGGCTAACATGCTGAGAGCCAAGTGTGGGTGCAGGGAGCACTCAGCAAATGCTACTGACTGCTAACAGGTTAATTATGAATCCTGGTCACCATACGGGCCAGTTGCTAAGCTGCCCTGAGCCACCGGTCATTTCTGCTGAAGCAGAGGTATTTTTAGGCTTGTTTCCAAGGCTCACAGTCCATGCTTTTGTTTACCTTCGCCTCTTATAAAAATAAGATGGTAAACGAGTGTAATGAAGACAGTCATTAACCAATGTCTTCTCTGCTTATGGCCCTAGAAAAAGTGATATGGACACATGTTTGCGGCACATGACTGCCTATGGCTTTTGCATATGCAGTTCCCTCCGCCTGGGAAGCCCTTCTTGCTGGGCTCACCTCATGCAGAAACTGACCACAGAGGTCCCACTGCACCTTCTGCAGCTGCCCAGCCCAGTTAGGTCCCCAGCCATCTCCCGACTGGCCCTCCCTGCACCCCACTTAGCCCTTTCAAGCTCTCATCACAAGAGCTTTTTCTCCTTTCATTTCCTCGGTGTCTACTGCCTCGGTCTGCAACTAGACTGTAAGCTACAGGACACACATCAGCATTGTCTGTCATTTGTCTTCAAATATTTTTGATTGAGGAAACAGTGTGAAGAAAGCCCATTCTTAGGGCTGGCCAAATAGCTCAGTGGATTAAAGCGCCTGCTTAAAAAAAAAAAAAAAAGCTCCTGCTTAGGCGGAGCATAGTGGCCGGAGTTCCATCAGTGTGCCATGCTGACCCCGTCCCTTGGGTGTGCTGAGACAGTGATTGAGACTGGGTGTGGTGGCACACGCCTGTAATCCCAGTGCTTGGGAGGCTGAAAACAGGAGGATCGCTATAAGTCTGATCTGTGTAGTGAGACCCTGTAGAACCCTTACTTGAAAGAAAAAAAAAAAAAAAAGCCCATTCTTGAAGTGCTTTCTGAAGAAAGGAGCATGGAGACTCAACAGTGTCCCTCTGACTCTTCTTAAGCACAAGTGCATTCTTTTTTATTATTTTACCTGGGGATTTTTTTTTTAAATTTTGTTCTAATACTACATATATGCAGTACATGGAGTTTGAAATAACCTTGGGAAATGGTTACAGGCACATATTACATCTTGTTTTTTTTTAAAAAAAATCCTCTCCCTCTTCCTGTTCCTGAGGTCTCAGTTTTGCTCTAGCTGATTATTTCTTCTTCTCCACCTTCTTCTTCTTCTTCTTCTTCTTCTTCTTCTTCTTCTTCTTCTTCTTCTTCTTCTTCTTCTTCTTCTTCTTCTTCTTCTTCTTCTTCTTC